CCCCAAAACCCCAAAACCCCATCAAGAAGTATTTCTAAAATTATATGATAAGTTATAATTTAGAATAATAATAATAGTTTTAATCTAAATTATTGCAAAATCAAATATATCATTTCTGAAAATCCAATGCATACTGATAAAAATGTGCCCAATAGCCAGTTAAGCATGAGCAGAGATGAGCCTTTCTATAAAATGTAACTATACAACTATTTAATCATATATACAGCAAGTAGACGATAATGAATCAGCAGCTGCAGAAAATAAAGTAAAACCCTCTATTACAAAAGTACAAGGTAATAGCTTACATATCTAATTTATTAAATCTTGAAACAGAAAAGGAAAATTGAAGATGAGTATGAAATAAGTTTGATAAAACCATCAAGACTATCAAGCAATCCTCTTACAGATGACATTGATTAATGATAGAGAATAAAGTAGCAAGACTATAAATACAATACATTAGAAAATTAAAAAACTGTTAAAGATAACTCTGACTAGTTTGTAAACTCTAGCATTCTTGATTAAATGAGGAAGCAAAATAAGATTAAATGATAAGATAATATATTAGCTGGGGAGATTACAATTTAAACCCCTATAATCAGTAATTAGTAATCTAAGTTTGAATAAACCTAGCATATGCCAATCAGGAATATCTTGGCTAAGGATACTATAAAATATGATGGAAATAGTAGAAACAATATAAGCAGCTTAAATCAAGCAACTGACACTGGAGGGCCTTATAAAATTTAGGATAATGGAAGCTCATTTGTAGAAATGCTAGAAAAATCTAGATAGTGACTCAACGCTTTAAATACTTCTAAGCAGTCTGCGACAACAAATATGTAGCAGAGGTTGGTTTCCAGGAATTTGAAATCTCGAAATAAGAAAATAAATTGAACTTATTAAACTATTGTAGATGTCGATAACGGTGATCAATCAAATCTAGCTAATTTTTAAGACTCTAGAAATGATTATCGAGAATTGGCAGATAACACAATTAAGAGTTAGCTACTTCCTGATATCAATACCAATAATAACTAGCAATAAATTTAAAACTAAAACTTTTCATAATAAAACAGAGTCTAATACTAACCAAACGATTAATCTTTAAATGTTATCCAACCAATATATATCCCAATGCCATATCCAGTAATATAGTATTAAGCTGTCCCTAGTTATGTGTAAATGCCTCCAGATTATATTAGAAATGCCTAGAATTAGAACTCTAATATTAATCAACGACAAGATATTAATAATTAAGAAATAATCTAATTTCACTCTAGTTAAGAGTATAATAAACAGAAGTATCAACAAACTAACGAGTAAGATCTAACTTAGCAGTACAAGAAATATTATAACTCTGAGGCATATAAAGATCAATATGTAAAGACGATTGAAGAACATAGGTTAAAGAGCAAAAGTAAAGACATTTACAATGATGAGTATCTTAGATAAGATATTAGAATCAATATTGATTAGACCTTGAATACTAATTTAAACTCAATTTCTCTTACTGTGAATGATTAATAACCAGCAATTAAGTTTAAATCTGATCTCTAAAATGATTTATAACAAATAAAGGTAGAATTAGACAGCAATAGACTCAATGAATCTATTAAAAACCTTTAATTAGCAAAATAAATGGACATGATAAGAGAAAAGCAGGTAAAATCTGAGATGAAAAGGATGCATAATGACATTAATTATCAGAATAGTTTGAATAATAACTCAACTTCAATATTTATAAGCCACAAGCATTTGAATAAGCCATTCGGATACTAGAATTCTGATAGTAATGATGAAGATAATGACTTATAAAAAATAGAGATGTATGAAAAATATAGATCTGAAAGACAAAAAATGCTGATGGATTAGCTGAAAAGTTTTAGCAAATTTACCTAGTCTAAGACTAGTAAACATGTTTCAAACAGAGATTTTGAAAAATCGCATGGATAATTAATTTATACATATGGGGCTCATGAATTAGGTAAGAAGAAACAAAGTTACTTGCCAATATATGGAGCTAGCTCAGATCCTTTGATTTTGGAGATTGAGGAAAGGAATAAAAAAAGATTGAAATTTATGAAAAATCTAGAGAGTGGATCTAGAAATATAATGATTGGCGATACCTATGATGGGGAGTATGAATTTTGATAGATATTTTATTTATAAATACTTCAACCAATATTTGAAATAGATATTGGTTAGTGGGGTTTTGGGGTTTTGGGG